ATTTAGAAGTATTTTTGTATATGTAGTGTTTGACAGTTCTCAATGTGTATTAAACGCATCAGGAAACCAACTGACTGCTCATAAATGCAAATAAGTCAGACTGCCTCCAAATGATCTATGTTAAATTTTTCTCTTTGTCTTTTTTGTTAGCTACTAGCTAGGCGAAACCTGTCTGCGTTGCTGTGTGACTGGCAGTCTGTGTGCCAACCTTCAGGGTTAAAAGGTGGTGAATTAGCAGTTCCAGCGTTTGAGACCATTTATTGCTGAAACTGTGTTGAACGGCAGAGCTTTATTTTACTGCAAAGGTTTTTTTTGTTTTTTTTTACCTAAAAATCTAATTTGGCTGTGGAGCCGCAAACAGGGCAGTAAAAGAGCCGCATGTTGCTAACCCAATCAGATCTGAGGCTTTCTGCCTGATTCAGTCTGCTCTTTGAATTCTTCCATGCTTTTTTCATCCTGTCCCATCTTTTGACTGGTCTCCAAATTTCAAACCTCTCCTTCTTTTCTCTCTACCTGATTATTCTGGTTTAGTGATTTTGCTAAAAGTGAAAAAAAAACTAAATTTTGTTGAATTAAGCGCATAAATTATTACTGCTAAAACTGATTTTCTGCAACAATTCACCATTATTCTTAAACTATAAACATAAAAGCAAACTTTCTTAGCAAATTAAATTCAGGATGATAAAAAGATTCATCTGATTTCAAAATGATTTATTTCACTTGTAAATCATTACAGAACAATGCAGTAAATTGTAAATGGTTTAAATGAGCATAAAGTTTATGATGTAATGTTACATGTGCTCAGTATGATCTTCACCAGCTGTCACCGTCAACGCGATAGTCAAATTCATCCCATACTTGATTGAGCAGGTCGGGTGTCACTGTACTCACGGCTCTTTCAGTGCAATTTCCGAGATCATCCAGTGTTGTGGAACCAACGACAAATGCTCTGAAAATCACGTTGCAGTTATGATGGATTCACTCTTATTTAAGTGGAGAAAAATGAACGCTTTCTGCTCAGAGGTCTCATCTCCTCGCAGACTGAAGGGAGCCGTCTTCCGGTGACAGTCAGAAACTCTATAACCCCCTCTTTCAGTTGGTATGTGATTGGTTCCTAGGCGCCTCACGGCTGTAAAAAATATGGCTCTTTGAAATCAGATGAATCTTTTTAAATCACCCTGTATTTTGTTTGTCTTATCCACACTGGCCGTTCATGGATAAGATTTGACACCCCTGCTTTATAGTACAGTACAAGCACTAAGATGGGTGAAAATGTACTGTAACTGGAGAAAAAACAGGTTAAAACCAAGGCGTTTATTTTTATTTATTTCATTATGCATAGTGCTTTTTTTTTTTAACAACTGGCTTCATCAGAAAGCAGCTTTACAGAAAATCCAGGTTTAAGCTCCAAATGATACTAATAAACTAATAAATAAACTAATAAGTGCTTCAGATAAGTTATAGACTAGCCATTAGCTTTTCACTGAAACCAAGAAATACAGAACTTGGCTTTAATGTCCATTTATGCAATTTGAACATGGTTTGGATTACAGTGTTTTCACTTGTAGTTTTTTTCTCCTAAGGCATTTGGGACATTGTATGTTCAAGTAAGTAATCCACCTCTTTCAAGTTCACATGCTTTCTCGCATACGCATTCTCAGTCACGGTCTGTGATGTGTCATAATAAAATCTGAAGACACTGAGTTGTGCCAAACAACACCCCTAAACTGTGACAGTCACATAGCCTCTCACATTGTGGATTACTGCTTTCATTAAATAGCAGCAAAATAGAATACAATAAAATACAAATATTTAAATAAACAATTTATTATTAACAACATCACGATAAACAGCTCTATAAAAGCCGTGCAATTTATTAACAGTAGGATATGGTGTGTGTAGTTTACAGCAGCATCGAGCTTCTCTCAGCCAGTCAAAATTGGCATTGCACACTTAAATACGAGCCTTCTAGGCCTTAATCCAATCTAAGAAATTAGAGCATGCTGGTTACATGAATAGTCCGATAACTGTTAAAATCTGATAATCATCAGATTATTAAGTGCATGTAAACAGACACTCATTTACCGGAGTTTAATTTGAGTTTGACAAATTAAAAAAAAATTCAGTTAAGAAGTAAACGTTGTCTTGAAAATATACATCCTAGGTAGGGAACAGTATTGTTGGTTAATGTGATACAAGGTAATGTATTACAGTATAAGTGATATTACAGATAGCTTTTTCCTGTAACGAAGTGGTGTATCAGACCATAGTTGAAGTTTTCTCTGAAGCGAAAATCAAGCTATTATATATATATATATATATATATATATATATTATTGTATATTATAACATTACTAACCTCTCTCATGTGTACAACTCACAACTTTGAAAAATAACAGAAAAAAAAAAATCATCTTATGCTGACTGTGTATTCTCATGCTAATGGAGATAGTAAAGATGCTGCATTCACTTAAAACAACAAGACAGATGGGTAGGGTAACCGGAATAATGGCTAAATTAAATGTTTTCACATTTTTTTCACACACTTTTCTGGATTAAAGGCAGTGCTTAAATCGAGTAGCCACTCCCATCTGTCATTTCTGCCAAGATTTCTTATCTTGTTCGAACTAGTCAGACGTCCTGTGTTAAGCTAGCATTACCTCACCTCCCCATGGAAAATATCCTATCCAAATATTATTACATGTAATGGATTTAAATCGTACAGTTCCTCTATATAGATGATCCGTGCATGCCCTTGTATGTAATTTGCCTGCACCAGCTGACTACATGACTTTGTGAATATGAGGAGCACAGCATAGGGAGCACTGCAGTCCACGAACAACATGTAATAGTATGTAATAATACAGTAAATAGTATTTTGTACTTTTGTCCAATTAGTGTATCATTTTGATACTTTACATCAACTAATACTAATAGAAATCAATTTTCAGTATGAGTACTTCATCCACAAACATCAAATTGTCATCGTCAGATTTATTGAAAAACAAAGCTTGTTGGCTGGAACAGATTAAATCTGATGGTCCACACATAAAAACAATACCATTTAAACAGAATGGCTGCAAAAAAAATTGCATTGTGCGAAACTCTTTAGAGTAAAGTGAACGCGTACTGTACAAATTTACAAGTCTGTACAACCAGTCTGACTGACGGTTTTGGCTAAGGCCAAAACAACAAATCGAACCCACACTAACTCCAAGAGACACACTAACATCAACCTAAACAAAATAATGGTAAAAAGACAACTCCCTGACTAACACAAACCCAAAAAAATGGCAGCAGAACCCTACACCCGGTGAAACTATACTACAAAGATATACAAAAATATAATATATATACACAAAAATTCTCAAAGCAAACAGGTTTAAAGGGGCTGGACTAAATCACAAGGTCAAGTAACAAGGTAGGCAAACAGTAAGAGAGCAAATCAAAAACAGTGGAAAAAACAAAGTCAAAGCACGTGAGCCAAAAGCTGGTAGTGGATCTGAGGAGGCCTCTTTGATTCCCCCCCCCAGTGTGACATCATAACAAGGAGGGGGATCTGGAGCATGGACCGGAGTTAGGATGAGCGGGAGACATGTACTGGAGTACAGAATGACGGGCGTAACACCCCCTCCTATTAGCGTCAATCCCATATAAAGATGCACAACAATCGGTTTAACATAACACCTGGAGACGGCATCAGCTATCATGTTACCAGTGCCTCTCTTGTGCACAATTTCAAGGTTGAAAAAGAGTAATAAGGCTAGAACTGCTACTGAAGAAAACTTCACCATATTGGAAAGTGAGGGAAAGGGAAAAGGCTTTATCTGTGGCACTGTATGCAAGTTGGTGTTCAAAACGTTTTCACAAAAAATAAAAATGATCAAAGCCATGCAGGAGAACTGCACCAGCTCTGGTTCCACTGATATCAGCTTGTGATTTGATAGACTTTGCAAAATCAGGTTTCACAAGAACAGGGGAGCTACTTACAGCCATCACACTTATAGCCTGCCCTACTGCTGAAACGTTTCAGCTCTCGCTTTGTCTAAAGAGTGGGAAAAGACTTAAGCATCTAGAAGGCACTTTCCAAAGACTTTCCCAAGGTATGTAACAACTTCTAGACACCATTAAGAAGAGAACCAAGGCCAGGATCGTCGTCTCGGGAACGCTGCCAACCTACCGGAGAGGAAACGAGGTGTTCAGCAGGCTCTATGCGCTGCACTGCTGGCTCCAAGGCTGGTGTAAGAACAGCTGGAGTGTTTTCTGGGAGCAACTGGCATTTTACCGCAGGGACGGACTACACCTGAGCTGCCGTGGGTCTGTTACCTTGTCCCAGAATATCGAGAAAGTACTACACCAGGCCTGACTGGACTTAACTGTAGTAGACAACGGATGGGTAAGTAGTATCATCAGCAGACAGGTATCCAGCAGAAATCCTTTTTTCCACCATAGACCGACTAATTAACCCTAACTTATCTACTAGTGCGTTTAATGATGATTTATCTGCTAAAGTCTGTGAAGAGTTCGCAATTCATGTTCAAAATAAAATAGACTCAGGAGCTCAAAGCAAGTGATATGGAGAGAAGAGTCAGATACTGTCATTGGTTCCAGGCGTTTGTGAAGGACAACAAAGGAATATTGGACATCACAAGGTTCTAGGATGAGGCGTGGTTCCATTTGTCGGGTTATGTTAACTCACAAAACACCCGTATATGAGCCGCTGAAAATCCCCTTGCCACTCACCAAAAACCGCTTCATGATCAAAAAGTCAGTGTATGGTGCGCAATGTCTCGGTTATGCATCATAGGCCCCATTTTCTTTGACACCACCGTGAACGCCGGTGTGTACCTGGACATTTTTGAACAGTTTGTGAATCAACTGGATGATCGTGAGTTAACGGAAGGTTACTTCCAGCAAGATGGAGCAACGTGTCACACACCAGCAAGGAGCATGGCAGAAAGATAATAATAATAATAATAATAATAATAATAATTACACATTTACAAGTAAAGACACTAATTTCAGGTTTGGCCAAAGCCAAAACAAACAGAACCTACACTTACCCCCAAGAGAAACATTAACTAACCTCAATGAATACAAAACAACAACAACAACAACAAAGACAGACAGCTTTTTAAATTCTCTGACTAACAAAAAAACAAAGAAAAGCCCCAAAAATCCCCAAAATGCCAAACCCTGAAAGATATACAAAGATATCATTCAGAAAAAAATAAAATCACAAAGAAAACAGGTTTAAAAGTGCCTAAGCTAAATCACAAAGTTAAGTAACAAAGCAGTGTCAGAAGCTAAACAGTCAGAGATCAATCAAAAAAAAAAAATCAGACTGATCTCTGACGGGGAGGCCTCTGTGGTTCTTTCCCCATTACAACAACAGATCTTAAAAACGTGGACTGGAGCATGGACCAGAGCAGGTGAGGATGAGGTGAAGACACAGACTGGATCGAAAGATAATGCTGATATCTCCCTGGACTTGGAAAACAAGAGGCACAAACAAAACAAATACAAACAGCATAAAGTCAAAAAAAAAGAAACATTAAAAAAGCATAAACTTTAATAAGAGCAAATGAATTTGGTTGAGGGCTTAAGAAGTTAAAGCACAACATAGCTCTCTAACCCCTGCAACCCCTGTCCAGCTTTCTTTTCAGTGTGAACACGCTGGTGTTTTTTGAGGGCATCACTTTGTGAAAAACTCCTTCCACACTCAGAGCACTGATACGGTTTCTCTCCCGTGTGAACGCGCTGGTGTCTTTGGAAACTGCTCTGTACAGCGAAATTCATTCCGCACTCTGAACAGTAATAGGGTTTCTCTCCTGTGTGAATGCGCTGGTGTCTTTGGAGATTACGTCTGTTAATAAAACTCTTCCTGCAATTCATGCAGCGATAGTTTTTTTCTCCGGTGTGAATGCGCTGATGCTGCTGGAGGTTACGCTTGTCAGTAAAACTCTTTCCACACTCTGAGCACTGATACGGTTTCTCTCCTGTGTGAACGCGCTGGTGTCTTTGAAAATTACATCTGGCAATAAAGCTCTTCCCGCACTCTGAGCACTGATACGGTTTCTTTCCTGTGTGAATACGTTGGTGGTTTTGGAGATTACATCTGGCCATAAAGCTTTTCCCACACTCTGAACAGTAGTAGGGTTTTTCTCCGGTGTGAATTCGTTGGTGATTTTGGAGATTACGCCTGTCAGTAAAGCTCTTCCCGCACTCTGAGCACTGATACGGCTTCTCTCCCGTGTGAATACGCTGGTGTGCCTGGAGATTACTTTTTTGATTAAAATTCATTCCACACTCTGCGCATTGATACGGTTTCTCTCCTGTGTGAATGCGCTCGTGTCTTTGGAGACCACATCTGTCAATGAAACTATTTCCACACTCGGAGCACTGATACGGTTTCTTTCCTTTGTGAATGCGCTGGTGTCTTCGGAGATTATATCTGTCAATAAAACTCTTTCCGCACTCGGAGCACTGGTGAGTTCTCCCATTGTCTGAATTTTCTTGTGTTCGTCTGTGAGATGGGTTAGTGTGAACAGTATCAGATGTCTGCTCAGTACCACAGCTTCTTCTGGGGGCCATGTTCTCATGTTTAATCTCTACTGACTCAGCAGTGTGACATAGTCCTCTTGGTAGCATCTCCTGACAGGGTTGTGGTAGTCATCACCAGGAGCAGGAGACTTGCATCAGGATATAATTCCTGTAAGAGGCAAAAAAAAAAAAAAATGTTAAATTCATTGTCAAAAGGATCAATAGTACAAAGACAAAAGCTGTGCCGGCTGTTGGGTTTACGGACAGAGATAAAGCCTAATTTATCAAATACATTGTTCACGAGTTCACTTAAACAGTGCCTTGCATTTCTCTATATTGCCGCTGTTGGAACAAAACCTTGTATCTCCATTTTTGTTGTTTTGCAGATTGTTTTTTTCCTTCTCCTGTAAAGTTAGCATTTTAGAGATACAAGGTTTTCTTCCGATATGTTGACAGAAACATATTATTATAAATACAAAATATATCCAGACGGCAGTTCAGGGTAGATAAAACAGGTCTAACATGGTCAGCCTTCTTTGTTCTTGTTAGAGCTTTTGCTGCTGTGGTTAGTAAAAGCTGGATCTGACTTGGACATCCAACCAGTGCAGTAAAACTGGTGATATTCTGTAATCGAAAGTTCTGATATGCATCAAGTACGTGTCTTGTAAGTGATATCCAAGTCAATGGACGGTAGCAAGATTCTTTACTAATGTTCTAAAGTCAACAGTGAAACTATCAAAACTCACGGTAAAATTGGAGATTATTTATGTCCAATCTTTAATGTCAGAAATTTTTCAGAAATAAATGTAAGAAAAGTCTTAGGAAGATACTGGCAAATGAGGCCAAAAATATTTTTGTATCATTTGTGTACATGGCAATCTACTATAAAAGTGGATGTACTTATTTTACATGCACATTAGTATAAATGTTAAAACTAGTCCTTATTTCACATTTTATTCTTCGTAATTTGAAAACTAATTTGGTCAGACAGAACCACTCAACCTTAAACTCCACCCATGAGCACAGCCTTTGAATCACAAGTCCTGATTTTCAGTCAGCTGCTTACTGAAGCCCTTAGATGTTTAGTAGGGATGCAGACAATCATTAAAGTATTAACTGATAATGAAGGTTTTGACCGATTAATGCGCTCAGTTAAACAGTTACAAACATACAAATTTGTTGAAAAAGGAAAGGGGGCTGCATGGTAAAAGAAAAATAATCTATACATATCAAATCAATTCATGGGAATGTGTCGACAGGTGCAACCAACCACACCTGCCTACATCTGTTTACACATTACAAAGTCTGGCTACTATCTATTTACTTCAATAAGTTATAAAATATCTTTCCACATGGGAGATGTAGGCATTATGCCGGTCCTACACAGTGCACTCGGCACCACTGGATTCAATGTGTGTTTTGTTTCGTTCTGTTCTCTGTTGTTGTCGATGCTGTTATTTGCAGTTGTAAATATAAACCCATTTTATAAAGAAACAAAACCAGCAACAGAAAATGCTTAATCTGTCACCTCTTAATCCAGCAGCCAATGACCAGCAACAGAAAACTGAAAATATAATGACCCATCAGTGTATTATACGTATTCCACACCCACCCATGAAGTACCAGCACACAAAATCCATACACACTGTTTCAGTCATTCAGTCTTCGTTTGATGTGGCTTCCAGGCTGCTTGATGTATGAATAAATAAACAGATCTGCCAGTTTCTGAATGCTGTATATAAACTGCAGAATATCCCGTCAGTCACTGGAAAGACACCATTATCAGTCCACAGCGCGGAGGCTGAAGCGTAAAACGAAATGGTCAAAAAAACAGCAGCACAGCCAGCACTGTGACTGATTCATGCAGTAACCAGGTATACAGTGTCCATAAAGAATAAACGAGCTCCTGTGTGAGTAAACAGTAAACGGGCCGAGGGTCACACAGGTAAACAACAGCATCATGCTAACAACAGCTCGAGGCCAACGCGCTACAGCCAAAACACACACATCACCGGACTGAACACGCATGCATTCAAAAACTGGTACAAAGCTCTGACTTCGACTTACATCTGCTCTAAAGACACCGGCCCCGCGGCGAGGAGCAGAACCGGAACCAGACCAACGCCATATCAAACACTGGCTGCTTTCCCCGTTTAACTTTCTTCTTCTCTACATGTACTCATGACGCTAGTGGTCAGAGCGCCCCCTACTGGTGGAAAGCAGAGCCGGTTTATGCTGCAGAACCAAAAGCCCAGGAGGTAGGGCTGGATCTGATCCAACTCCTCCTACGTCGTGTTTTAATTGGTTGGTTTTAATACTTGCCCGTCAGATTCAAGTAAACAAGTGAACACACAGTTTCTCCCTCTTATGAAATTCCAGGATTTAGTTGATAAAACAGTTATAATTATAAAGGCTGTGTTGTGGCGTTCAGGACGGAGCGACATCGAGACAAAAAACAAAAACACCAGCAACACCTGCGGGTTTCCCACAGGTAAAAACGCGACAGGGTAGACCAATGAAATAAGTCGTAGGCGGAAAACGTAAGAAACACATACTAATTTATAGACCAGTAGAAATGCGATGATTTTAGACCAATGAAAAGAAGATGTGGGCGGAGTTGGATCAGGTCCGGCTCCACCCCTTTGGACTTCTGGTTCTGCAGCGAGTGATAGTTGGGAGTGGGTGGTGTGGTGGGTGTGGGGTTTATGAGGAGCCTGGCTACTTCCCCCCGGTCATATTCCAAAAACAGGGCTGCTGAACAGCAGAGGGCGCCCGCGAGTGAGTCCTCAATGAATGGGAGTAAATGGAGCTAAACGGCTAAAAACGAAAAGTTAAAATGATCTAAAACACCGTGCATTTTAATATATTTTATGTTGGCCACCGTTTTAGAAATGCAATAAGCCACTCGAGGCAGTGGGTTATTACTGCGATTTTATCATGGTAAGAGAGTTTTAGGCGCTCCACTCTATCTGTCCTCATTAGCGCAGGCTGGCTAGGAGGGATAACAACACATTATCAATACTGAACAGAAGCAGAACTTGCCAGTCTTCAGTCTTTGCTCCTCTGAAGGTGTACCTGTTGTCATTCCTCATTAAGTCACCTAATGTCACCTTATTTTATGAGTAATTTAAGAAACACACACACACACATATATATATATATATATATATATATATATATATATATATATATATATATATACATACATATATATACACATATACATACATATATATATATATATATATATATATATATATATTGTACCTTTAAGTGACTTTGGGTTATAGTTCACCATAATGTGTCCAGTCTTATCCACAAAGGGCCGGTGTGGCTGCAGGTTTTCATTCCAACAAAGCAGGAACTCACATGATCAGCCATTTGAAGACTGAGACCTGCTGATTAAATGAGTGGAATCAGGTGTGCTTCAGCTTGTTTGGAGTGAAAACCTGCAGCCACACCGGCCCTTTGCGGATAAGATTGGACAGCCCTGTGCTAAACACTAATGTGGTATAGAGGACACAAAATATGCATGAATCTTTTATTTTGAAGCTTAGCTTTCATATTATGGTCTGTCCATGATCTTTTAGTCAGAGATTCTCTAATAAAAGTGGAGATGACTATGAGATGCTATTAGAATTCACTGAAATACTGATGGGTACACCCTACTGCCATTTCCTCCATTACAGACACCTTTCTGGGTTACTGCCTCTGATACTGACTGCTATAAGAGTACTGTTTGAGAGTTTGCTGGCTTACCAGTTAGTTGAGCGTGTGCTAATTCACCCTTAGTCATTGTATTTTTCTGGTATGAAACAATTAAATTGCTATCAGTAACACTGATTTGACATGAAAAAGCTAGCTAAGTTAAATCTTCAAGATTCATGAGTTTAGATTGTCACTGAAGTATTTTTGATGGGTTAAAATCGGAGAAGTAACATGCGGCATACCACTTTCATGTATTTTATGATCTAAAAGAAGAGTGTACAGGTATGTACCAGTCATTTATCACATACATTTTCACAGTATTTAATCTTCTGTTGGTCAGAATGTCTCTCTTCTACTATAATGAGATGCTGGTGAAGTGCCGTAAATAAACCCTAACAGTCCCAACTCTATCTTGCTGTTGCTTATCTCACAAAACCTTTGTGTTTTCACATTAGACACATTGTGGCTTGTTAAAAAATGGACATTTAATTAATGTCTTTGCTTTAGTGGTCTAATGGGTACTTTTGGTTTGGTTATAAGTGGCTAGCCAAATCATATAGCTCTGAGTTATCATTACCTTGTCTGCTGCATAACTGGCTTCCTGTTAAGTACTTATTTTAACTGTATATATCCTTAACTTCATTTCCAAAAAATTCAAGAAACATGCTCTGACTGAAAGCATTGGCCGCTCAAGGTTTTGCACAGATACAATTATGGATAATGTAGTACCAGCAGCGAATTCAAGTGGTGTGTCGTGCAGTTCTCCTCAGCAATCCTGGATAAAACAGAACACTTTCTGGCTTTCATATTGACTTTTTTACTGTCGTGATTTTAGTGGGGCATAGCAACATTTTAAGAGAGCATGTGCCCCAGTAAATTAGTCTAATGATGCCCCTGGATGACACTGACATGTCAAAATTCACGGGATAGCAGTATGTAAATTGATTATGAAGTGGCGTTTCCTAAGGGGACGGATTAGGAACACCCCCACACACCTGCAGGTCAGTGCAGCGTTCTGTAGCTTCCATAGGATACGGGAGCAGAAGACCCACCAGACCTCTGTCAACACCACGACACCGGACACAGTGCCCAACCTGGGCTCGTGAGGTTGCTAACTGGACCCTAGAGGACTGGCAACTTGTGGCATGGTCTGATGAGTCACAGTACCAATGGTTTCGGGCTGATGGTCGGGTTTGTGTGTGGCGCAGACCCAATAAAGCCATGCACCCCAGTTGTCATCAAGGCATTGTGCAGGCAGATGGTGGTTCCAGACTGGTGTTCTAATGGCATGGGTAGGGTCCACTGGTCTGCCTAGAAACACGTCATTGACCATTTCACTGCTTGGTGACCATTTGCAGCCCTTCATGGACTTCATATCCCCCGACAATGATGGGATCCAGCAGGATAATGCACCGTGCCATTGGGCCAAAGTTGTCCAGAATTGGTTTGAGGAGTCTTCTGGAGAGTTCAGACGGATGATGTAGCCTGCATGTTTGCCCCAGTCGAGCATTTATGGGATGTGGTGAAGAGGTCCATTCACGATCCAGAGATCCTGCACCTACCAATACCACAGTGCAGTGGATGGCTAATCAGACGGCGTGGCTCAACAACCCTCCACGTATTCGGTCCACTTGTGGAATTGATGCCATGTCAGGTTGCTACACTTTGCTACTTGTCTAGAGGGGGACCTACACGAAACTAGTTTCTGTCCCATGACTTTTGGTATGCGGGTGTACATGAGAAATAAACCATATAAAGTCCTCAATTGTTGCACTTTTTAGACAGTTCCTACTGAACACAGTGACAGGGACGCAAATGACCCTCTGTCTTCAGAGAAAAGTCACAAAGAACATTTTAAATCTATTTGGTGTAGGGTTGATCACTGTGGACAGATTATTTCATGAGCAATGAAAGAGAGGAAGTTAACTAAAGCCAACTTTACTGCGAAAAATATATGCAGCTTCTGTGATCATAGTTACTGAAAGGTGAATTAAACTGAGCCTGTAATGATATGATCATCCAATTAAATTACAAAAAACAAACCTCTCATTTAAGTTGGTCTGTATGTTTTCATAAGATTCTCATGCTCTTGTTTTAACAGCAATTTTCTTGCTTGTCTGGGCAAAATCCTTCACACATCTCCCCTCACTACTTGTTTATATCCTCTCTAATGTTAAATTGGGTCCAATTTTGTGAATAAATAAATGAACCAATGATACACAGACCTCAAATAGTAATCAGTGTATTGTCTGTTCAACCTATCCAATTTCAAAATCAATAATCAGATGATAAAACATTTCTTTTTTTTTTATTCTAGTGCCTCAAAACAAACATGGATTGTTTCATGTACAACGTGTGTTAAAATGGTATGTGTATATTCCGTCTAAAGTGAAAAACAAGTCCGATTTCTTAATCCAGCTTCATGCCTTTCATTCATGAAACAGAAATCTCCTGAAAATTGGTAACAAGCGTTAAAACATGATGGAAACTAGAAAAACCTTCATTTCTCAATATTGATTAGTATCGTTTTTATATTTTACATTTCTGATTCTGTTTGTGAAAGCTACCGAAATATCGATCAACAGTCCTACACACATAGGCAGCAATCATGGAGCAGCATGTACACACTAGCTTTGTATTGTTTTTAGAGGAAACCAATGAGTGAACCTCAAAGAAGAAGAATCTTTCAGGTGGAGTAGCAATAGATTGCTAACATAATGTTTTTTTGTTTCTCTGCCTCTGTACCCCACGGAGCTAGCTGTACAGCAAACATTTAGTCTGCTGCGTCGACTGGAAAGACTTTCCTTGCTAGCCATCTAACTGGCTTTGTGATGTAGTTACGTTAATGTTTACATTAATGTTAATTTAAACGTTACTCCTCATTTGAAATGTAAAGCTAGTGTTAGTTGGCAGCCTTCTGTAGCTAATGTTATATTTCCAGTTGAAGAGTTAGGCCCGAAGCATACTTCGTGCAAGGACGCGGACACAAATGACAGCACTCGACCAGCGCAATGCAAACTGCTCGGTCCTTCTTTATGAACTCACCGTGCATTCATACAAAACAGTATTATTTCCCTGTGGGATTTATAAATCCACTGCACATTTAACCGATAGCTTTTTTGGTTCAAACATTTAAATAGTTGTGGTTAGTAGAGTGAGCCTGTTACATTGTTCTTATCAATTTGTAACCAAACAACAACAACATGGGTCTCTTCATAAGTGAAGCTATATGGAACCAACTAAAGAACAATTACAGCCTGTTTACAACCTATACGTCTCGCACAGCTGTGACTCAGGACAAAAATCTAAAATGGGGCTTTGCCAACACTGGTAAAGTACAGAAACAGCACTGTTTCACTGTGAGATTTATTCTGCCCTAAAGGAACTTTAAATACATATACTGAAGTATACTGAGTGTTACGGGGTCTTCTTCACTGAAGGGCTTTCAGATGGCTAGGGGGCACAAGCAGGTTTTTTAGTAACTGGGGTGTATAAAGGTTTTATGTACTTAGTTGTTTTTATTTTCCTGCTCTTTTTGAGGGATGTACAGGGTGGTCCTGCTCTCCTGACGTCTCACTCCACACTCCAGCTCAGTAGGTGGCAGTCACGCACTCTATGTTGGCCTGCCAACCACCATTCATACAGAAGAAGTAGGTGGTGCCTGATAAACACAGCTGTGTCTCTGTTGGGAAACCATGTAGTTTAATGTCCTCTGTAAGTACATCTGCATCTGTTTCTCTGTAAGAACTGCATTGTTTGTTTATTGCACCTACTGTTTGTATGTATATGTTTGGATAATTGACTCTGGGTTGTTGTTATGCTAACATGCTAAAGCTAACATGCTAATTTAGTATTAGTACTCTGTGTATATATATATATACACACACACACACACACACACACACACACATATATATCTCATATCTCATATCTCCAAAATGATAATTTTACAGGAGAAGGAAAAAGCACACTTTCCTTTTGATGCAAGTCGATGGAACCAGAATTTTTTCCAAGCCATTTTGGGCTATTTCTTTTGGTCCATTCATCATGAAATTACCACACTATTTAAAGAGAAACAAGCATTTTTTAAATGATGTCAAAAAGTGAAAAACGACAAAAATGGAGATACGAGGTTTGGTTCCGAGAGCAGTGATATATACACATGGGTGTGACCACAACTTTGATCTTATTGGTTGTTCTGGACTATTGTTCAGTCTAAGACTAGACTGGTATCCTGATCTCACTCCTCTCCATGGTTCACTCCTGAACTTAGGACAATGAAAGCAATATAAAATTAATTCCATCTATCACCTTCTTCCCTGCCAACATCCCTCAGACGTCCATGAACGTCCTCCTGAGCATCATCTTCTTTCTAGTTTTACTCAGTCTTCTATTCACTTCACGATTTACACACATTACCCTTGGTCACAGTATCAAATACCACAGGCGTATTTTTCTATGTTGATGGTATACAGAATTATATCAGCAGTCACTCTGCTACCTCCGATGCCACCCTGCAACTAGGTGCCAGTTTCTGTGACAAAACATTGGATAATTTTCCCAAGCTTAATTTTGTTAAGACTAAAATCTTTCTGGTTGGTTCCAGTTCCCTAGTAAATAGGTGGTCATATTTGTCTATTGATATAGATACATGGCTGGTTAAACCTTCCCAGACTGAATCATTGGAATAATTGTTGACCTTTTATTCGCCATTGAAGCCTATATTGGCTCCCTTGTTAAGACTGCTTTTTCTTTGTTTGTAACATTGGACGCCTCCATCCCATACTTAGCGTGAAAGATGCAAAAACTCTAGTTGATGCGTTTGTAGGCTCTTGTTGTGACCATTGTAATGTTCTTTTCATTGGCCTGCCATCCAAAACCGTTGCCATCATCCCCATCCACTCTAAATCCTTTTACAATCCTGTTTATCCATCTTTTTTCTAAGCTGCTTAATGCTTACGCCCTGGCTGTACTATCAGATTCTCTAGTCATGGTTTTTGTGGTTCCAATGTTTCATCTCTCTTCCACCAATGTCAGATCTTTTAGTGTCGTGGCACCCAAACTAACTAGCACAGAGCCTCTGTAAGATCTTTTCCCATTTCAGCCAATCCCAGCCAAAGACTTGCCTGTTCTCTTTGTCCTATCCATCTTATTCTTATTAATGTTATGTGACAATTTTTCTTTTAATGGTAAGTTAAATCATTTTACAACTGTTTTTTTTCATAATGACACATAAAAAACAACCTTGTACACCCAACAACTTTCCCTTGACTTCTTCAATCCCAACCAACCTGTATTTGTCAAAGTTTTGTTGCATTTGGCATTGATTTTTTTTATTTATTCTTCTTGTCTTACAGAAATAAATGACTTCTTGTTGCAAGTCTTCTCCTGCTCCACAAACCCATCAACAGATGTTAGAGGAATACCTATGAAATCCAGAGAGACTGTGAGCCTCCAGAAGAAGCTCTGGATGCACAGCAAATGCCACCTGATACCACACTAACACGTCTCAGAACAATGCAGAACATTTCCAGCAAAGACCGAGCTCACCACTGCTCCGAGTGTGGAAAGAGTTTTATTGACGGACGTAATCTCCGAAGACACCGGCACATTCACATAGAGAAACCATATTGTTGCTTAGAGTGTGCAAAATGTTTTACTGTACAGAGCAATCTCCAAGTGCACCAGTGCATTCACACGGGAGAGAAACCATACCGATGCTTAGAGTGTGGGAAGAGTTTTAATCGAAAGACTCATCTCCAGGTACACCAGCGCATTCACACAGGAGAGAAACCGTATCAGTGCTCTGAATGTGGGAAGAGTTTTAATCGAAAGAGTAATCTCCAACTACACCAGCGCATTCACACAGGAGAGAAGCCATTTCAGTGCTCAGAATGTGGGAAGTGCTTTACTGTATATGGGAATCTTCAAGGGCACCAACGCATTCACACGGGAGAGAAACCGTATCCCTGCTCGGAATGTGGGACAAGTTTTAATCAAAAAAGCCATCTCCGAGCACACCAGCGCATTCACACTGGAGAGAAACCGTATCAGTGCACAGAATGTGGGAAGTGCTTTACTTCACGGAGTAATCTCAAAGTGCACCGACACATTCACACAGGAGAGAAGCCGTATCAGTGTTTAGACTGTGGGAAGAGTTTTACTGTAAAGAGCGGCCTCCAAGTACACCAGCGCATTCATACAGGAGAGAAACCATATCGCTGTTTAGAGTGTGGAATGAGTTTTACGCTGCGGAGCACTCTCCAGAGTCACCAGCGCATTCACACAGGAGAGAAACCGTACTACTGCTCGGACTGTGGGAAGAGTTTTTCACAGAGTAGTCCCCTCAAAAAACACAAGTGCCTTAGCACAGGACAGAAAGCTGAGGAGGGGTAGATGGAGTCAGACATCCACACTGTACTTCAACCTCTGTAACCCTTCAGAAGGAGGTAAACCAGCTGGGTTTAAAATCTACAAATTCTTCAAGGTTCTTTTCGTTCCTTAGGATAGATAACAGGAAACCTACAATTTTTCCTTGGCTGTTCTTGAATGATAATAAAACACATTTAAAATGTATTCCTCAGTGTGTTGCCAAATATTTGTGCAGCTGATTTTTTAGCCCTTTATCACCAGTGTTTTTATCTAAAATAGTAAGCTGACAGAATAAAGCCAATTGCAGAGTTACACAAATATCTGTTTGATAATTCTTATAGAAACTCAAATATCAAAATTGGGTTCCCTGAAGATTTTAAATATATGTTGTAGCTGAGGCTGGGAGAACACAGACACTTAAGCATTAATAAATAATAAAATTCATAACCTTTTTTAAAATAGTGATTGTACTCCGCCATTATAAGTTCATACCAGTATTAGTAAAACCAGACTTTTTTATTTACAGGTTTAATTTAATTTAGAGAACTCCTCTGGAGTTCTTCTCTTGTCTACTCTCCTGCAGAGTTTAGTTTCAGCCAGACATGATCTCATACTGAGAATGTCTGAGGTCAACCACAGGAAATTTTGGGCTAAATGTGCTTAGGAATATAATTCGGGTGAGGAAAAAAAATTGAGTCTGCAAGTTCAACAATCCAATGTTTTGTGAAGGTGGGGCTCAACATATGGTGCAATGTTGCGCTAGTCAACATTTTCTGATTGACAGTGCCTGAGGTTTGCATAGCTAAAAACTCCAATTAAACATGTAGGTGACTGTTGTATGTGCAGTGAATACATTACATGTGGTAAAAATAAACATTACCTGTTACTAGGGAAAAAAGTTAAACTAGAAGATTCATCAGCTGTAGAAGACATCAGTGAATGATGGGTGACCACTGGCTGAATGTGGACTGAATGTGGGGTTGTATATGAGTAAATGTGATATGAACAAAATTGGATTTAGGCCACATCATAGTACAAAGGCAGCACGATTGAAAATAGAAAATGCTCTTTTATTATTGTCTGATCAAGAAAATGTATCTTTGCTGGTTCTGCTATCCTACTAGAGACTAGAAAACCTTCTAGGAGTAACAGGAATAGCTCTTTCCTACTTTGGGTCATGGCATCAATCTTCACTGCTACACTGACGACACATATATATCGGTCAAACCAGATGATAAATGTCAATGTGAGAAGATTGAGTGTAAAACACATAAAAGACTGGATGTCAATAACTTCCTCCTGCTCAACTCAGACAAAACAGAGATTCTTCTTTTGGCCCCAAAGTGCTCCTCTATTGTGGACAGTAATGGATCAAGAATTTTTGTGTTTTAAACAAGTTGTAAACAGCTGTCTAGGATTGGCAAACTAAACTTTTACCATATCTTGTTGGCCACAAAGCGAAGACCTTTCTTGGCTTCTCAGTTAATATCTTCAAACAATGTATCTGAAGTGGTTTTATATCAAACAAATTAAATTGAAGAGCATTTCTGAAGAATTAACAATATGTAATGTGGACAACATATTTTATAATGCAGAATAAAGAACAGAATGAAGCTGTTTATTAAGGATGAGTAGCGTGAAAAGGTAGGTCACGGATGTGTTTAGAAGACGTTAATTATATTACAATAGACATTAAGACAGTTCATAATGATTCTTCTGTAGCCTACCATTTGCAATTATTGGAAATTAGAAAGATAATGAATATAATTTTAACATTTTTTCTGATGCAAACAAAAATATTCCCAATGTAAATACAAAAAAGAACATAGTTCCTCTACAGGCATCGATGAAATGAATGTTCAGCCTTTGAACATTTTCCAGTCTGTATGGTCAAAACAGTCCTGAAGTGCTGAGATGTCCTCCTCAGACCTGGTTCTCAACTATTTCAGAACCAGCTTGGCTCGCTTGAGCAGAGGTTTGAATGCTGGAATTAACATACCAGAGATGTGATCCAAGCAGCCAAGACGGGGGTGGGGTTCAGCCTTGTGGGCACTGTAAACATGGGTGTAAACAAGTTCTGATGTGTTTAATCTATGAGTCAAATTTAGACAGCACTAGTTTCACTGTCCCCAGCGACAATAAAAATGCATCAGGGTGTGCAGTCTGTCGGTTACTGATAGCCCCATAGAGTTCTCTCTTTACAATCATAAACTCCACCAGCACCATGCAGTGACTTGATACTACTACAGCATTCCTGCACCATCCATCATTAAACACGAAAGCCACCACCACAGCTCTTACTGGACTGCTATCCTGTTGCCATAGTACAGAGAAAGGGCAACTACGTAACGGCGCATTACATTCTTTGTAGTGGTCGCCGTATTTTAGGATACGGTCCTTAAACAACAGAGAAAAACACGAATGGACCGGGCGGATCAAGCGCAAGATTCCTTACCTGGAGAAGCTGAACAAGGAGGCAAAGGAGCGCTATTTTGAGAAAATAAAGGAAAGTCATGGGCTTCATCCATATGAACACAACGAGTGGACGGGTGATCTTAACAAGCTACCGCCAGTAACGTTTCCAGATGTGTTTTTATATCTTGTTTGTGGTGTGAGTACGGAGCCCCGCTGGTGACATCCTGTATAAATAAAAATAACGTGTGGAATGAGATGATTAAGTCATGGCCACAACTTAGTAAAGCGCCTTACTAAGTCATGGCCACGACTAAATCATCAGATTTGTCTCGTGGTCAAATATATATCTTTAAACCTAGACTATGTAAGATTTGGGGATTTGGAGACTTCTCAGGAGGAAGAAGAACATTTAAAAACGTAGGTTATGCTTCAGACTGATTTCAGGTTCCAGTTCTAAAATCTGCCTAAATCATGTTTGAAGTCAGTGTTAAAAACTCGGTATATGTTTGAACAACTATGATTGCCTCACAAAGTTATTAAAAACTATTGTGCTGCTCAAGGATACCTTTTAATTCAGGATGTAAATGATTAATAACTTAACCAATAATCAACAACAGCATTCGACCAAGGCTAGATAGGCCTTCTATTAGCATGTAATTAACTTTTTTCAAGAGGACAATAGCAGAACCATAACAATGTACCAAACCAAACATCTACAAGCTGTAAGACTGACAAGACAAGTATTTCATCCATGAGAGAGAGAAGGCATGATGCACAGCAGTGAGAGGAAATCACGAGTGCAAAATTGAAGGACATGGAGGACGGAGATGAGTGTTGAGAGCTACTGATGAACGTTGAGCCAAAGCTAACCTCAGTCAGGGCATTTATGTTCCTTTTGGCTTAGGGTTGTAATGCTAGCCATCAACTTTCAAATGTAGAACTCATACAGAAGCTAGTAATGAGTGGTAAATATAACTTTAGCACCCAGCATTATACAGGGTGATTCAAAAAGATTCATCTGATTTCAAAATGATTTATTTCACTTGTAAATCATTACAGAACAATGCAGTAAATTGTAAAAGGTTTAAATGAGCATAAAGCTTATCATGTAATTTTACAAGTGCTCAATATGAACCTCCTCCAGCTGTACGGACAGATGACATCTTGATATAATTATGACACCAAAACTGAGAAACAGCGATTACTTAAAACAACCAAGTAAATTAACTGCTTTAGTTCATTTAGCATTAGCATTAGTTGGATTCATTCAGAGTGGGCATTAATTAAAATTCATTGAGTGGGTATTGGTTAGAATCATTCACGTGCCAATATATCACTTTTTTTCAGTGTAGTATTTATTGCACACTGACATAGTTGTCCTCCTTAGTCTGATTCAGGACTGTGCTGAACGAACACGAACACAAACACTATTATCATTATTATCATTATTCTCTACTGCAGGTTCTGAAGAGGACGTATTACATAGGACTTTCTTAAAGCCAGAAAAAGATTCACTCACTCAGTTCAGAAAGCCTCTTCTGGAGTTTGGTCTGGTCTGTAACTGATCAATCTTAGCCTGAGAGTTGACTGAAAGAAATAGTGAAATATTTGTCAATCCTTAAGAAAAATCATGTGGCCAATACAGTCAATCAGGCACCAATGCCTAAAATGGGCACTCACAAGGGTTGGGTAGTCATAGAATACATTTAATGGCGTTACATAATCAGGATACTATTAAAGTAACTGTAATTTGTTACAATTACAGCAAAAAAGACAGTAATGAGTATTACAGGTACATTATAAAAACAGGGTGCTTACTAGCAGGAATACATTCCATATACTCCAGTACAGCCTTTGAGCAAATAGAACACATGATGGCCAGTGAGTTTAGAATGGCCTCTATTTATGATTAGCATTGATGAGGGGTCTCAAAAGACGTTTTCTACCAGATTGATCTTCTGACTTTGACATGAAAAAACAGATTTCTAATAAAAAAGGGAAGTATTTTTTTTTTACTCTCCTGTCAAAATCACTTTTTTTTCTGGGGAGCAAAGCTTGATTTCTGAGATTCAAAGTTTGAGCATACATGTCAAACAAACTCAAATTATACTGTTATACAAATCCATGATCTGTCATGTTTATATTTTAAATATATTTTATACATTAGGTTTGGCTGTTTTGCTAAAAGTGAGATCAGTGACTGTTTCTGTGCGGCACAATATTCAAGTCACCAATAATCTATCATTGTTTCTTAAAACGCTGCAGTTTTTGTTTAACGTGTGTTAAATTCTTGTTATAAAGTTTTTTTTCTTTATTTCGTTAAACATCTTTATTTAAAAACAAGTAATCAAAGAGTAACAAAGTATTCAGATTATATTACTTTAATACAGTGATCCAGGGGTGTCCAATCTTATCCGCAAAGGGCCGGTGTGGCTGCAGGTTTTCACGCCAAACGAGCTGAAGCACACCTGATTCTACTCGTTTAATCAGTTAGTCTCAGTCTTCAAACCTTTCATCAGCTGACCTCCTGCTTTGTTGGAGTGAAAACCTGCAGCCACACCGGCCCTCTGCGGATAAGATCGGACACCCCGGCGGTAATCCTTTGGATTAAGTTACAATAACATTATTCAACTTGTTGTCAGTAATCTGTAATGGACTACATTTTAAAATAACCACCCCAACCCTGTCCACAACCCAGCTCATACGGGGTAGAGGGAAACATAAACCATGGGCCATGAGAGTAATGCCACTCCACTTTCAACTTGTTACACACAATCAAAACCAAAAAAAGAACAATAATTTTAAAGCACATTGTGAAAAATAAATTACAACCCTAAAGCAAGCAGAAATAAAAAATAAATAAACAAATAACTACCAGCTCTGTTCACTACAGAACAGGTTCGAGATGATAAGTGAGAAAGCGAAGTCGAGCGTTTGGTGTTGGAGGGACGGAAAGCTGAAATTACACCTGTTCTGTGGTGTTTGGAGCTTTAGCCTCCTAGCTAAGCTAAGCGAGTGTACGGTTCCTCCTGTTATAGTCCAGCAAACTGATGCTTAAAAAACAATGGTTTGTATAGTAAAGTAACTATACCTCTGCCTTCTATGCTGCAGACTGGGGTTCAATCCCCCTACCTGGACAAGCACCTTACACTATACCAATAAGAGTCCTTGGGCAGGACTCCCAAAATTGTAAGTTGCTCTGGATAAGAGAGTCTGCAAAATGCCGTAAATGTAAAAACACCTGTTTAGAGCACAAGGCTCATATCTTGTGCACACATTTGATTGGCTGGTGTTGAAGTGACAGAAATATAAAAAATAGAATTGTTCTGTGATGGTTTGAGCTGTACCCTGCTGGGCTATGCTAAAGCTCATATCATTCCCATTTTGCCAGCTACAGGTTTAGCCCACCGCAGTAGCGGCCTTACTTTCAGTAGCTGATGATCAAATACCCATTTAGAGGATGAAAAATCTGAGGGGACGCCGAGTGACTGGTTTTGGAGCGACAGACAACCAGACAACGTGGAACGACACGGCCTTGAGAACCATCTGGCTCGACACTGGAAAGGAGGCCTAGTATGTAGTATGTAAACACTGTTAAAGTTTCAAAACATACTGTTTACACCCCAGTCCACACATTCAATATATAGAAAATAAACTGCACTTGCTTCTGTGATATCATGAAAACCCAAAACCCACACAAATGTTATACATGGTCTACATTAGTTCATCCCCACCCATCTGCACCAGTTACAAAGACTGTGGTCTTTGTAAAATGCTTTATGAATGTTGCACAAAACTAGGCCACCAATCAGAATATAGCTCATCATTTACAAACATCTTAAAAACAGTGACAAACATCATAAGATGTAAAGAGAGATTGTCCTGACTGTTTTGGTACCTATCAGTGTATGTATCTAAAAATGTAGGATATGGGCCCTTTAAAAAATCTTATAATATTCTTACAATAATCTCAAAATGAGAATAATAGATATATCAATTAGATGCTAAAAAATACATGCATCAAAATACTGCATCAAAAAAATACATGCATCAAAATACTGCATCAAAAAAGAAACTGTGTCAAACACAAAGGAGAACAGCAAACACAAGCATGATAACATTTAAATAGGTTTTATTATGTGACACTTGTACAATTTGTGAATAAGAAGTTCCACTGAACACTTTTTCCACCAGTTAAGATGATCTTTACAAATAAAGATGCTTTTGGGAAACTGGGCCCCTGCTGTGTAGAGGCTGTACTGTAGTTTTGCTTGACCAGCTCTCACTGTGAGTTGTTCAAATATGCTTCAAAATGGTGCTGTATTACAGCTGCTTAGAGGGTGATTATAATAATACTCTAATAATTTTACCCATCCAGCCACTGTTTTAATATTTTACATCAATACAATTACAAATCAAATCAACAACTTACAAAATAAGATTACTTCAGTAATAAAACTCCATAACACCAAACCATGAGTCCAAGACACCAAACAGTCATGACTTTGTAGGCACTGCTAGTATTTTCACCTTGCTGGCTGATCTGCTTCAGTGGGGTTTAGGAGGTTGAAGTCCAGTCTAGATGTTGGACTCCGTCTACTCTTGTCCAGCTTTCCTTCCTGTGTGAACACGCTGGTGTTTTGTGAGGGCACCAGTGTGTGAAAAACTCTTCCCACACTCTGAGCACTGATACGGTTTCTCTCCTGTGTGAACACGCTGATGTATTTGGAGACCACTCAGCTGAATGAAGCTCATCCCACAGTCCGAACAGGAATAAGGTTTTTCCCCTGTGTGAACACGCTGGTGTCCATGGAGATGACTTTTCTGATTAAAACTCCTCCCACACTCTGAGCACTGATACGGTTTCTCTCCTGTGTGAACGCGCTGGTGTCTTTGCAGATGACTCTTTTGACTAAAACTCCTCCCACACTCTGAGCAGTAATATGGTCTCTCTCCTGTGTGAACATGCTGGTGTCTTTGGAGATGACTTTGTTCGGTAAAGCTCTTCCCGCACTCTAAGCACTGAAACGGTTTCTCTCCTGTGTGAATACGCCGGTGTACTTGGAGATTACTCAGCACCACGAAACTCATTCCGCACTGTGAACAGGAATAAGGTTTTTCCCCTGTGTGAATGCGCTGGTGTGTTTGGAGGTTACATCTGTCAGTAAAGCTCTTTCCACACTCGGAGCACTGATGCGGTTTCGCTCCTGTGTGAATGCTCTGGTGTACTTGGAGATGACTCTTCTGATTGAAACTCATTCCGCACTCTGAACAGGAATAGGGCTTCTCTCCTGTGTGAATACTCTGGTGTCTTTTGAGATTACCCTGCGCAGTAAAACTCTTTCCACACTCCGAGCAGTGGTGAGTTCTCTTTTTGCTGGAATTTTTCTGCATTTTTCTATGAGATGTGTTGGTGTGGAGAAAATCATTAGGCATTTGCTGAGTAGCAGAGCTGCTTCTGGATACCATAGGCTCACATGAAATCTCTCCCGATTTTAGAAGTGTTTCTCTAGCATCTCCTGAAAGAAAGAAAAAAAAAAGAAGGAACATTTAATGCTAAATGCAACAAAACTTTGACAAACACAGGTTGGTCAGGGATTAAAGTAGTTAAGTGGACAAAGTCGGTATCAGATGCTGGAAGTTTTACAAAGATGACCTCTAATCATAGAAAACGTGTCTTCACTTAAAATCCATTTATTAAACCTACATTCAAAATTTATTACAGTAATTTTTCAATTAGTAAATTGTACAATCATGTTTACAATAAAATTGACTCTGCATGCAAATGCATTTTCTCCTGCTGTAGGTTCTTTGACTCTTGCTATCAGTAATCTTATCTTACTTTAATAAACAAGGAGGATTTTAAAACGTCACTAGTTCACTTAAACAGTGGAAGGCCAGGCCATGTTATTCCGTATATAATTACAAAACTTTGTAATCAATATGTTCAATCAGCATCCAGTGGAAAATGGATAAAACAGGTCTGATATAGTTACGCTTCTTAGCTCTAGTAAGAACTCTTTCTGGGAGTGAAAACTTTGTACAAGGAAACCAACTGATGGACCCATTGGAGCATTCAACCAGCAGTGCACTGCAATAATCTAACAAAAAAATTGTTTTGGTAGCATCAAGTAGCAGAACATGATCTAATCTGTAATATTTCTCCAGAATAGGTGATCATTGTGAGTTGTTATTCAGTGTTGCAGGTAATATCTGTACATGGTAACTTATAAATTGGAGATGCAGTGAGGAACACTGTGTTTGATCCCCATGTGACCTTCATCATGTAGTTACTCAGCGCTCTTAGAAACGGAATTGTACTGAATGAGGCACAGAAACAGACTGAGGCTGATACAGTAGGATGGATTCACTTATTTAATGGCTTAAACAGCCAAACCTGCTGGTCTCTAAAACCAGGCTAATCATTAAGCGGCAATTCAAACTATTTATTATTACCTATTACCTATGACCTATTTTCTGAAGCTCAATTTACCCGCGCTATTAAAAATGGCAATACACTAACCACTAGAAGACAAAATCCATTCTACAAAAGGGCCTCCTAAAGTGTCTAAGGCTAAATATCACAGAAAGCAATTACAGGTCAACCAGGCACCAGTTCCTAAAAAGAGCGCCTACAACCCAGTTCAAGGCATACAGGGTACAGGGAAGCATGAACCATGGGCCAAGAGAGTAACGCCACCCCATTATAAACAGGTTACACGCAATCAAAGTCAAAGAAAAAATAATTTAAAGTACATTCATACAAATAAACAACCCTAAAGCGATCAAAAAGAAAGGGGAAAAAACACACCAAAGCAGAACCATGTCACAGGAAAGTAGCATCAGCTAGTGGTGGAGACCCAGTATAGACTGATATAGCCCATAGCTTAGAGCACAGGAGCTCAGCACTACTCCAAAGATCTTGTAGCTGTGCAGTAACAGCTGCAGTGTTAGGCGGCTCAACACTGGCGTCCCAAACTCACTCAACAGGACCAGATCATCACTATAAACACAGCTCAGTCTGTAATATGTACACAGTCATTTAAACCCAGTTCAGCCTCGACTTGGTAACAGACTTTAAAACAACATCACTGAGCTCAGACCTGCCTGGTAGCTGACACACCTTATACAGCTCAATGCTGGACTTTGACGAGCTTTTAATGTGGAAAAGGCTTTTAATCATAACTAACGGTCCATATATAACACAGCTCAGCCCGTCTGAGAGAGCAGCCTCTGTAAACACAGCTGCTTTAAGAACTGAAGATACAGTCTGACAGTAAAGTGTCTTTAAACCGTCAGCAGTGAGTTTAACAGACCGTCACAGCAGGGAGATCCCGCACTCAGACACTGCAGCTCCGCTCGGGAAACTCGGTCCTTAAACAGGAGGAGAGTTTAAACAGCCCTGCAGTTACACCGCGTTCGCTCCAGCGGTTCAGCTCTCCTCTCCGCCAGCTGACAATACTCTCCTTTTGGAGCTCAGCTCTCCTCTCCGCCAGTCACACTATCCTCCTTTTAGAGCTCAGCTCTCCTCTCCGACAGTCACACTATCCTCCTTTTAGAGCTCAGCTTCAGCAAAAAAAGGGAAAACTGTAAAATACAACTTCTACAGTGACATACCAACGAGACCAACCGAGACTTTCAACAACATATCGCGAGACTATGCGTCTCCATAATGGTTGCCGTAGAGGCGCTACTTCAAATTTAAAAGTCCCCACCTAAACTTTTCGAAAAAAAAAAGTAAATTGACCAGCAACCACATCAAGATCAGAGTGATAAATTCTGAAATTTCATAATCGTTTGATAGCTATAATTAGAAAGGTTACTGGGATCTTCATTTGAGTGGTGACCGCCTGTGATAAAGTAATCACTGTTTATTAGCTAGGTTAGCTTAGCTAACACTGGATCACCAGACCTAATATAAAATGCACACCAAACGACGTTTTGTATGATTTTGAAGTAAAAGGAAGTGCAAACAACATCTGCAGCAAACTATGTTTCTGCAAAATAATTAATCATCTATATATGATCTCAGGGCAGCTTTTACATTTTCGTTAGTGTGAGATTCCAGCAAACTTGGTCCTACCTGGGGGTGGAGGAGGTATGGTATTTGTTGTTGGGTGTATGGGGTATGGGGTTAGGGGGTCCTATTAATGTTTTTTTTTTTTCTTCAGTATTTTATTGATATTTAATTAAATAATTTATTTTAATGGATCCTCTTTGCACAATAGTGCTACTCCTTGTTCACTACTGTAGGTTCTAGATGCACTTTTTGTTGCCAGTTATGAATGCCATTACATAGAAATGTTGAACACAAAAACTTTTTAATTCATGTTTTGTGTCATTTTATTAGAGCTGTTTGGATCCTCAATATTTGATTTTGTTTTATGAATATAGACATTTTTAATTTTCCAGCCACTCAGTCTCAAGTATTACTATAAAGTTGTGTCAGCATCAGATCTCTACCATACTCAAATCTGACTTGTTTCCAATTCAACACTGTATGTCCATTCAAAACCATTACGTTTGAGTAAAATATAATATACACACATATAATTTCTGAATAACTTGCTCACAAGATAATGTTCTGTCACATTAAATGACTTGATAGGGTGTGACAAAATTTAAGCCTTCTGAGAAGCAGAAATTAAACACTGGTAAGTTCTGCTTTTGTTCAGTATTAATAATTTGTTGTTATCTCTCCTGGTCAGCCTTCACTAATGAGGGCAAAATACAGTCCAGATACAGAGAATATAGCATATAAACCAGTTCTCATTTCTCCTGTGGTAGCACACTATAAGCACGAATTTCAAATCTAACAGCTATACAGTGAAGATGGGTGAGAACAGCCTGCTTTTAGCTGAGATAGCTGTTTAACTAAAATAGTTTAACTTGGAAGAATGGATTCCACTAAATATCAGCAAATTCTGGAAGTAAAATGTGACACAGCTAGGAAAAAAATTAAGAACTCTTACTGTCCTTTTCATGCCTGGAGCAGCTGCCTCCTGTTTTTAAGAGACTAGTTGTAGAGACAGTACAGTTTAAGAGTAGTACTGTAATATTAGCAGAATTAAAAATACAAGCATGATTCTATTAAATTTAGCAAAAATTACAGACATTAGTTTCTCAGAAATCATTAAGCTTTCTCTGAAGGCCTAGCAGGCCCTGAGGGTCCCTCACTGCCAGTTGCAATATGACAAAAACATCTTACAGAAAAGGACGTGCTAAACATATATTATCCTAAACTATTAACTCATAAATTATTAGGGAACATTATTACATTATTAGTAAACAACAGCTCTATTTGAAGGCTCCCGTGTGGTATGTAAACGAACACAGTGAGTTACATCATTATTTCAGGACAGGCTTGAACATTTAGTAGACATGAGTGATCAAGTTTTTTTTTTTTTTTCTTTAGGTCCCATTTGACTGATTACCGGTTTGTCATTGTAAATAATTCATGTTCTGAACATGCAGATGCAGCCAGCAGAGTTTAAGAGTTTAGGTTGGGGACATTTAATTTGACAGCACCGTCGCTATGGCAGCCATTATCGTAGTCTCGCGTTAGGTTGTTGACGTATCGTTTACTTTCGTTGGAATCTGCTAGGAAGATGAATTTTACAGTTTTCTCTTTTCTGCTCAAGCTGAGCTCTAAAAGGAGGGTAATGTCAGCTGTCGGAGAGGAAAGCTGAGCTGTCTCTGTTCGGGATCTCCCTGCTGTGACGGTCTGTTAAACTCACTGCTGACGGTTAAAAGACATTTTAGCATAGCTTCAGTTCTTAAAGCAGCTGTGTTTACAGAGGCTGCTCTCTCAGACGGGCTGAGCTGTGTTATATATGGACCGTTAGTTATGATTAAAAGCCTTTTCCACATTAAAAGCTCGTCGAAGTCCAGCATTGAGCTGTATAAGGTGTGTCAGCTACCAGGCAGGTCTGAGCTCAGTGATGTTGTTTTAAAGTCTGTTACTAAGACGAGGCTGAACTGGGTTTAAATGACTGTGTACATATTACAGACTGAGCTGTGTTTATAGTGATGATCTGGTCGTGTTGAGTGAGTTTGGGACGCCAGTGTTGGGCCGTCTAACGTACATGTCACAGGTGTATCTGAAGTGGTTATAGCTGCTTTTTTTTTTTTACTTTTACCCTTTTCTTAAGCACATGCTGGTTGTGTATTACAACCCATTTCCAAATAAGTTGGGACGCTGTGCAAAATGTAAATAAAACAAAATGCAATGATGTGCAAATCATTTAAACCCTATATTTCACTGAAAATAGTACAAAGACAACATATCAAATGTTGAAACTGAGGTTTTGTTTTTGTTTTTTGAAAAATATATGCTCATTTTGAATTTGTTGCGTTCCAAAAAAGTTTTCTCCTACTTGATGCTTTCAAAACCGAAATTTTGGTTGGATTACTGCAGTGCATTGCTAGCTGAATGTACCAATGGGTCCGATTAAACAGACCAAAGCTCACATAACTTCGTATTAGATCAAAAAAGACTAACGATATCTGTTCTATCCAGCTTTCACTGGATGCTGATCAAACGTTGTATTGGTTAGATGCTGTCCAGGTATAAATAAACAAGTATTGGAACAGGCCATTTTGTTAAATGAACCAGTGACCTTTTTATAACACTCCTTGTTTATCAAAGTAGGATAAGATTGTAGGTGTTACTGATAGCAGGTGACCCCAACTGCTAACAGAGCCCTGAAATTCTGAAATAATTTGCTAATTCAAATTCAGCCACTGTAACGAAATTTAAATCTAGGTTAAAAATAATTGAGTTTTTAACAAAGACATATTTTGTATTATGATAGTTTTTCCAATGAACGTCTTTAATCCCTGACCAACCTGTTTGTCGGAATTGTTGCATTTGACATTGAATGTTCCTTCCTTTTTTCTAGGAGATGCTGGAGAAATACTTGGGAGAGATTTAATGTGAGCCTATGGTATCCAAAAGCAGCTCTGCTCCTCAGCAAAACACCTTCTGATTCCCTCCACACCAACACATCTCACAGAACAATGCAGAAAAATCCCAGCGAAGAGAGAACTCACCAGTGCTCGGAGTGTGGGCAGCGTTTTTCTCGCAGAAGTCATCTCCAGCGACACCAGCGCATTCACACAGGAGAGAAACCGTATCAGTGCTTAGAGTGTGGGAAGTGTTTTAGTTCACAGGGTAATCTCCAAAGACACCAGCGCATTCACACGGGAGTAAAACCATTTTGCTGTTCAGAGTGTGGAATGAATTTTAATCAAAAGAGTCATCTCCAAGTACACCAGAGCATTCACACAGGTGTGAAACCATATCAGTGCTCCGAGTGTGGAAAGAGCTTTACTGACAGATGTAATTTCCAAAGACACCAGCGCATTCACACAGGGGAAAAACCTTATTCCTGTTCAGAGTGCGGAATGAGCTTCACTCTGCAGAGCAGTCTCCAAGAACACGAGCGCATTCACACAGGAGAGAAACCGTTTCAGTGTTCAGAGTGTGGGAAAAACTTTAATCGAAAGAGCAATCTCCAAATACATCAGCGCATTCACACAGGAGAGAAGCCGTATTACTGTTCGGAGTGTGGAATGAGTTTTACCGTGCAGATTAATCTCCAAATACACCAGCGCGTTCACACAGGAGAGAAACCGTATCAGTGCTCAGAGTGTGGGAAGAGTTTTTCACATAACGGTGCCTTCAGAAAACACCAGCGCATGCACATGGTAAAGAAAGCTGGGCAGGGGTGGACGGAGTCAAACATCTACTCTGGACTTCAACCTTTCAACCTCACAGAAGCAGATCAGCCACCAAAGTGAAAATACCAGCTGTTACGACCCCACAGGCAAATCTGGGGGATAATGGGTTCGGTAACATATGATTTAAAATGTGACGCTTGGAGCACGAACCAGGAAAGAGCAAGACATGAATCGGTTTCTGCTTTTTTACCATTTAATGCACGCTAGGGTGTAGTACAATCACTCTAGGATCACAGAAAGTCCTCCAAAAATATGATTACTTACACTATTAACAATATTTACAAAATGGCAAGTATACTTGCTGCTTAAGAGAATGAGATTCTGGACCTGAACGGCACTAAAGGAAAGAAATCATTAAAACAAACAAACAAACAAAAAAACACTACCCTAGCAGCAAAACAAAACATCTACACTGATCTTACCTATACCAAAACGTAAATACAAGGGTTGGCGCCCGCCCCTTACCTAAGATGTCTATACATTGGGCTGCTACGTGGTGTAAAAATGTATGAGCGTGTCTGTCTAGCCTGTCCAGAGCCCCAAGACAGCACAGCAGCATATGAGAGAGAAAACAGACAGATGTAAAACAGCAAGGCAATAAAGCAATCGTGTTTTAACAACTCAAGGTACAAAAGCACAGGCTGACATGGTCTAGCCAAATCTCCAACTCATGTGACAAAGCTAGCGCAGATACACACAAAACTACATGTGCCAAAAGAGTACAAAGCTTATGTGTCTGCATCTGTAACAACAAAGACCAGGAGCACATTAAACAGCTTGGCGTACAGGGAGAACGCAGGCCTGTCGACAAGCTTTGCCTGGCTGGTTTTAAAGTTCAGGTCCCTCCTCCAGTGCCGGAATTCTGCATGATGATTGGTCGATGTGAAATGGTAGATGTCGAGCCTCTAATGACGACTGACACTACAACCAACCTATAGCAGAGATTGGAACCAAACGAGGGAGGAGACATACGAGAGAGAGAGAAAAAGAAACAGATAGAAACAGAGAGAAAAAGAGAAACACCGGCCAGACACCCCTTTATCCAGCCCGGCCACGTAACACCAGCAGAGACTTAGTTCTACAAGGTTATTTTTCTTCTGTCGGATAGGTAGTGGGGAGTAGAGGTCTGCAGAGGTCTGTTTGTTCAGTCCTGTTACTGCAAGATTTCATCCCACTTCCAAAGAAAATTGGAATCATTTGTCCGCTCCCGTCCGCAACCGAAGCATTATGTCCCACTCCCGCCCACGCAGTCTCGTCAAGGCGAAATGACATCCAATATCTGACATAGTCTGTTCACAAATACCTTATCCTCTGAAATAACACGGCTGTCGTGGTCATCAGGCTGAAGGCTCTGCTGTCTCTGTAAGCTACGAGTTTGCATGTTGTTCACATGATGAGCACTGGAAAATTAGTCCTCTGTGGCAGGAGTGCAGAACTATAGCTGGAAGCATTTACGTTTAATGGCGTTTTTTAATGTGCACCATCAGTAATTTCAAATGTCTTAAAACTATGCCAAACATGTTTTGTTTTGGATAAATTTGACAATGACAATTTGATGTCATGGTTGTATTACTGAAGCATTCTAATCTAAGTCGTTGATTGATTTCTAATAGTATTGCTAGCTGTAAAATATTAAACTGATATTGGCTGGATGGGTAAAGTACAGTATTATTGTAATCACCCCATTGTAATACAGCACTGTTTTGAAGCATATAAACAGCTTTCTGGGGGAGCTGGTCAAGCTAAAGCACAGCTTCAACACAGTGGTGTTGTTTTCCAAAGCATCTTATTGTAAAGATCACCAGGTGATCTGATCAACTGGTAGAGAGAATGTTTAGTGTGATGTGATGCAGAGTCATCCTTGTACCAAGATACTTCTGGGAAATCCAGCTAGAGTTAGTTTAACACAATGGGCTTCGTAAATTTGTTCTTGAAAAAGTCTACATGAGATTCATGACGTGTTCTTAAACTGCAGAATTGTTCACACCTTTGTGCTCTTGACTGTGTGTAGATTCTGTTCTTAACCACGAACTAATCCCAAATAAGAAATATTGGCGAATGTCAATCTTAGTGAAATCTGCGTAATTTGGTTAAGAACAAATGTCTTCTTAAGAATGGTTGGTGAATGATGCCCAATGTTACTAAGCCTCTCAATGTAGCCACTCAAGCTGTTTAATTTTGGGGTCTTTTTATTCACACATTCAGCAAACATGTACTACAGACGTCATGTAACTAAAATCTGCTTACAATTTACCATGCTCATGTTTGTTGGACTTTGTGTTTGACAGTCTTTTTTTTACTAATCATTTGTATTTTGAGGCATGTATTGTTTTCATATTGTTTTGGTTCTGGGTGGATTTAGTGTTTCTTCTTGAAAAAGACAAGTACGGGACCCCCTAGATGTACATTTTAAAATTAAGTTCTGGACTCCAGAAGTGGCGTAACTGTCTGCGCTGCAAAAAATGTTAACTTGGCAAGTGAAATCATCTTAAATCCAGTTGACATCTGATATTTCTCATTTTGAGGTTGTTGTAATAAGTTTATAACATTATTTAAAGGACCCATATCCTACCTTTTTGTTTTGAGGTCCACTTGCAAAGGTTTTTGTGGGTTAAGCTACCCAACAGTCATATTTCTTGACCATTTTCTAGCCTTGCTTTATTCCCTAGTATTAAACAGGCTGTATTTACTCTCTTTAAGATCTTGTTTTGTGCTTAAAAGGCCAGCACAATAAACTTAAAATAATTAAAGTGGAGAAGGGGGGTGTTATATTAGTAACAATAAAACAACTAAATTATACAAAACTGACCTTTTGTATAGTAACAAATAAATGGCTTAGATCACACTAGAGCCACCCATTTCTGCAGATTTTTAATAGGTTAATGCATAGTTGCTGTTCTGTTAGCATTCATGGTGAGAGGCTGAGCTGGTAAACCTGAACACAAAACGCCATCATGGTGAGAATAACAAAAACATGTAAAATGCATCCAGACTTCACATTTAACTAGAGTATACTGTGACATTTAATATTTCTAATTTATAGATATAATTATATGTTAATTAACAGCACCCAACAAAAGCGCCAAGAATACTGGGAAGCACTGCCAGTAGGACTTATCCAAAAATTAACTGACAAGGTAACAAATAAGGTGAAGATTGACCTAATTAACTAATGATTGTTACTAGATTTGTAGTAGTAATATTAACAAATTAGTAAATAAAAAAAAGATTAGTGCAGTTATTGGTTTACAGTGTGTGGTACTGGAGCTAGAACTGAGTATTTCTATCTGCATGTAATTGGGGAAAGAGGTGATCGTTTGGGAACCTAACAGGTCTTTGGCCTGACTGAGACAGACTCTTTCTGACATCGTTAAGGGAAACACTATCTTTGTTGACTGCTGTGTTGAGTATTGTTTCGGGGCCATACGAGTCTGTGTTATAATAGTTTTGATGTGTAATGATGAAACAGAAATTGTGTACATAGAGTATGTCTAATATAATTTGAATAAAGATATAACTGCTTTGACCAATTCTATATTACGCAGGGAAAACACATGTGGGTGTGCTCATCCCCACCATCTATCTCGCACCCCCCCCCTCATATGTTTGTGTGCCCATGATAACCTGTTACAGATTATTGTTCTTTATTTTTATGCATTCATTAAATTATGTTCCCTTTTTATGTTCCTGTAATCCTGAAAAATATTTTTTTCTTATAAAAATGTATAATCCATTTTACTTTTGAAGGTCTTCTCTTTTCAGTTTTTGTGGGGTATATTGCATCACAGAAATTATGAATGGGTGTTTTTCATACAGTTCTACATTTTCATCTTCCCCACGCTGTGGTAAACTACCCAACATAATGCACTTTTGTCAGTTAGTATCTAGAATAAGACTTGTTGAAAATTAGTTTAGAAATAACACCGATGAGTTGTCTAATGTGAAATTAAGAAAAAAACTGTCAGTGGTTCTGAATGATGAGCCGTTTTGCAGCTGAAAGTGTCAGTTCTTGTAGAGGAGCTGATACAACTGATCTGACTCACTAAAGAGTCTGAATGCCCATTAGTAGCTGTGCGAGTGTGCAGGCTGCTTTCCACTGCATTTTAATTCCAAAAAGCCCTGGTGCTGCAATCTCTGCAGCAAGCCTAAAAAGTTTCAGTTCAACAGACCCTAGAACTTAAAGTGTGTAGCAGTGCATTGCTGCTGTTACAATTTAAAATTGAGTTGTCTGCTATTTTTTATTACGGACCAAGATTAAACAATATAGGAAAAATACAGAATTGTGGACTGTTTCTAGCTAGAAAGCCCCATAGTACCACATACTGTAAGTGTCAAAAAGAGACACAAAGCTCGATTTTTCAGCTGGCCAATAGCGGAACTGCAGAAATGCTACACTACACTAGTTGGGGTTTATAGGAACATGGGTGTGATATAAATAACACCTTCCAGATCTGCTGTGATCATGTAGTTCTAGTGTGATGCTCCTTGCAGCCTAGACGGTGGTGCTGTTTCTGTACTTGCCCTGATCAACAGTTCAAGCCTCCGCACTCTTACAGTGTTGCTGGAGAAACAACACTTGTTGAAAGTAGAGACTTATTTTTTCATCTTGTTTACATTGTGTTTTTAATTGAACCTTAAAAATGGTTTGAGAGATGTTCTCTTTTTGAGATGTAGGGTGGAAAGCAGCCTTTGCACTGACCTTTACTGTTTACTGTTACCACTTTGTTTGACAAGCACATAAATTTTTTGATGCATATTGAAAATGATTGAAAACACAATAAATTTAAAAAATCATGCCTCTCAAACATTTAATTCCATTTGTATTTATTGCTTTATTGTTGCAATTATCCAGTGGATATTTTGAGGTATAGGCTTATCCTGTGTGTTTATTCTGTGCTTTAGTGCAAGTTTGCTAGAGAAAATTACAGTGTTACTGTACAAAAAGGCTGTCATCCCAGCTGTGTATCCTGCCTTCCGCCCAATGACAACTGGGATAGGCTCCAGCACCCCACCATGACCCAGAAGGATAAGTGGTTTAGATGATGTATGTATGTATGTACAAAAAGGCATCTCTCTCTACACTCCCAGACCAAGAAATGGGCCAAACGTTAAGCTTTTAATGGTCTTAACAACAAATCATTAAAGAAATAAACAAAATAACTTAATATGAGCTATTTTTCCCTTTGATTTCTTTAAGTATTGTGGGTAAACTTGTAGACAGCTTTTTACAGAAAGAAAAATCAATATTTTTTCACTGAGCATTGATGGCTTCAAACAGTTGAAAAACACTGCCAAGCTATTTTGTGTTTAAATGTGAGACCAAATGAAGAGTTTATTTGCAAAAAAAATTATAAATAAATAAACGGCATCCTATAAAAAATGTAGCTGTCGTGAATTATTCATAACACGCAGCACATTCCGAACCCTAAATATGTTTTGTCACAAAAGCTGTTATTGTCCATAGTCAGTGCATTGCAAGTTTACGTTTTACAGCAAGAACAGTCAAGCGCCAGTGCTGTTCTTGACCAGAACCCGATAAATCCGTTCAGGAAATCAGCACGCAGTATTCCAGTCAGGTGACGCGACACTGCTGCAAACTGTTTAATGGCTCCCTTCTCCATACAAAGTGCTGAATGTAGGTCTTAAACTAATGGCTACTGCTTCTAAACAGAGCATGTGCGTCTAACAAAGAACCACTTTGGATTCAGCCATGTGTGCACAATTCATACTGGACATAAAGTGCAATATTTGGGTGAAAAAGCCAAAAACTCACATAATGCACCATATAGGGAGCAGTGAGCCATTTGAGATTCAGCCTGAGGGTTTTCTGAGATTTGATCTTGTTGATGTTTAATACTGAACATTAATGGGCTGTTTTTGTTGCAATTTTCAGCACTTTACCTGCTTGTTTTATGTTAAAGAATACTGAAACTTGCATCCCTTATATGGCTTTGTTTACCTCTGAAACATTAAATGACATTAAGTTCCAAATTGCCTCTAGAAGAAACATCAGCAAAAGAACTGCATGTTAGGAGCTTCACAAAATGGGTTTCCATGGTGGAGGAGGGATAATGCTATGGGGTTGTTTTTCAGGGGTCAGCCCCTTAGTTCCAGTGAAAGGAAATCCTCATACTTCAGCAGACCAAGACATTTTGGACAATTGTATCCTTCCAACATTGTGGGAACCGTTTGGGGAAGGCCCTGTTCTGTTCCAGCATGACTGAGCCCCAGTGCACAAAGGAAGTTCCATAAAGGCATGGCTGGATGAGTTTGGTGTGGAAGAACTTGACCGGCCCTCACAGAGTCCTGACCTTAACCCCATCAAACACATTTGGGATGAACTAGAACGGAGATTGTGAGCCAGGCTCTCTCATCCAACAACAGTGTCTGACCACAGAAATGCTCTTCTGGATGAACAGAACTTTACGTAAATAGAATTTACCATAGAAACACAGAAAAGGTGTTGAATTGAAATGATGGTGGCTTGAATTAAGATTAATTGACCCTTATTAGTCCCACAGCAGGGGGAATTTCACCTCTGCAATCTAAACCATCCATGCAGTGAAACACCACATACACACTAGTGAGCACACTTGCCCAGAGCAGTGGGCAGCCCTATCCACGGTGCCCGGGGAACAGTTGGGGGTTAGGTACCTTGCTCAAGGGCCCCTCAGTCATGTACTGTTGGCTCAGGGGATCAAATCAGTGATCTTCCAGTCACAAGGCTGGTTCCCTAACCTGTCAAAATTATCTTTATTTAATGCAATATACAAGCCACACTGTGTTTTCATTTCACAAAATCAATGTGACTGAAGTTGTTTTTGAAACAAGGCTTTATGGACATGTGTTCCTTCGTTTTGGGTCTTTTGGGCAGTAATTAGCTTGCCTGTGGAGCTTGACAGTGTGAATTATTAGCTGTTAGTAAATTAATCTAACTAGTGATGCTTTTCTGAGCTGCTTACTAAAAGTTTTCTTCATCTACACATTAAACATGCTGAAGTTTGATATACAAATCATAATTATTTTATAGACAAAGTAGTGGTGAAAGTGCCAGACTTTTGTGTTAAAAAGATGCACAAGTTCATCAGTTTATCTCTTGTAACGCCGAACTGCAGGAATTCTATGAGGCACTGCACCTAATTTCATAGCGGCGGTTCAGACTTTTACCTTGACTTAAAATGGAATATTTTTACATATCTTTCGAGGGTGTACAATTTTGGGTTAGAAAAGTTGCAAGTGTTGTAGTACAAATTAAGATACTGAACACTTATGGAGTTAAATCAGTGTCACTAGGACCTGAACCTGAATTCCTAATGCTGAACCTGAATTCATGATATGTATTCATTTGAAATTTGATGTTAGTGAAAATTTTCTCTGTGAAACCTTAGATATTTAAAATTCAGGTCTTGAAATTTCAGTATAAAAAAATTCAGGTAACCAAAAATTTAGTTAAAAATATGTCAGGTTGTAAAAAATCAGTTTGAGAAACATACAGAGAATACAAGCCACAAAACAAACCTAATAAACATCAACAATGCTGGCTAGCGAACACAGGACACAAAGGGGATATATACATACACTGAAGACACGGATCACCTGAAAGCACTAAACAAGGACAGGGCTAAGAACGAGGAACAGGTGAGGGCTGAAGACAGGGCAGGACAGGGGAGGAGCTAAAACCAATACAAACGCACATGGCACACTAGAGAGGAGCAGAAACCAATAGTGGAGCGGATAATCCCTGACAGTGTGTTCCAGTGCTACTGTTATAATATAATGTATAATGCTACTGCTGAAATGAATTTCTTACAATGCTATTTTGTTCTAGAGACTTTATTTCCATTCAACTTAGTCATATTGTACACATTTAATTTGCAAAACTCAAGATTGATGATTTAAAGCTCAAAAAATGACAGTAATTTCAGGATAAAAACCCTTTATTTTACAAACCTGAGTTCTAAAGGGCCAGGAACTTTCTCAACAGTCATACCTGATTTCATCATCTGGTTCGATGTCACTAATCGCAGACATCGCAGGTGTAGTGATCTGTTTACAAATACTATGCTTATCTTGCAGTTTGGATTTAGGAGCAGCATGGAGGCGCAGTGGGTAGCGCTGTCACCTCACAGCAAGAAGGGCCTGGATTCAATTCCCTGGTCAGTTGACCAGGGTCCTTTCTGTGCGCTCCAGTTTTCTCCCACAGTCAAAAGACATGCAGAAGTCAGAGTAAGAGTTTACAGCACTGAGAAATCTGATTACTGAGCTAGTCCAGCCTCTTTATCGGATTTCTAGATCGGAGTATGGTGTTTATATGGCCATTTGAATAATCAGATAACTGCAGAAATCCGATTACAATCGGATTTTTGGGTGCATGTAAACGCACTCTATGATCACTGTGCTTCGTCTAGGAAGCAATCATTTCTTACACCAGCATTTCTACCTCTGCTCCTGTTGACCCCCAGCACTGCACAGTTTCAAGTAATCCTTGGGAGCACACACCTGATTCAGCTCATCAACTGATTGTCAAGCCCTTCATTAGTTGAATCAGGTGTGTTGGGGCAGGGAACGATGAAACTGTGCAGTGCTCTGGGTCACTATGAGCAGGATTAAGAGATACAGCCTTCTACAAATGAACCTCATCGATTTTTCCTGCCATGTTGCTTGAATGTTTCATGTGTCAGTTCCATTAGCTAGCTAAACTAGACTCTACAGCATCAGTGTATTTCACCACTT